CTTCTACTGATTTTGGGCCTCATTTGTTCTTCTTTTTCTAGTTTTATTAATTGTGAATTTCAAGTGTTCATATGGGATTGTTCTTTCCTGAGGTAGGCCTGTATTGCAATAAACTTCCCTCCTGGCACCACCTTCGCTACTTCCCACAGATTTTGTGGTGTTGAATTATTGTTGTCATTTGTCTCCATATATAGCTTGATCTCTGTTTCTATTTGGTCACTGATCCATTGATTATTCAGGATCATGTTCTGAAGCCTTCATGTGTTTGTGGGCTTTTTCGTTTTCTTTGTGTAATTTATTTCTAGTTTAATACCTTTGTGGTCTGAGAAGCTGGTTGGTACAATTTCAATCTTTGAATTTACTGAGGCTCTTTTTGTGGCCTAGTATATGATCTACTCTTGAAAATGTTCCATGTGCACTTGAGAAGAATGTGTATCCTGTTGCTTTTGGATGGAGTGTTCTGTAGATGTCTGTTAGGTCCAACTGTTCTAATGTGTTGTTCAGTGCCTCTGTCTCCTTATTTATTTCCTGTCTGGTTGATCTGTCTTTTGGTGTGTTGAAGTCTCCTAAAATGAATGCATTGCATTCTATTTCCCCCTTTAATTCTGTTAGTATTTGTTTCACATCTGTAGGTATCCTGTGTTGGGTGCATGTATATTTATAATGGTTATATCCTCTTGTTGGACTGACCCCTCTATTATTATGTAATGTTCTTCTTTGTGTCTTGTTGCTTTGTTTGTTTTGAAGTCTATTTTGTCTGATACAAGTACTGCAACTCCTGCTTTTTCTCCCTATTAGTTGCATGAAATATCTTTTTCTATCCCTTTACTTTCAGTCCATGTATGCGTTTGGGTTTGAAGTGAGTGTCTTGTATGCAGTATATAGATGGGTCTTGTTTTTTTATCCATTCAGTGACTCTATGTTTTTTGATTGGTGTATTCAGAACATTTACATTTAGGGTGATTATCGATAGGTATGTACTTTTTGCCATTGCAGGCTTTAGATCTGTGGTTACCAAATGTTCAAGGGTAATTCCCTTACTATCTCACAGTCTAATTTAACTCACTTAGTATGCTATTACAACCACAACCTAAAGGCTCTTTTTTTTTTTACTCCTTTTTCTTCCTCCTCCATTCTTTATATATTAGGTATCATATTCTGTACTCTTTTTCTATCTCTTGATTGGCTTTGGGGATAGTTGATTTCATTTTGCTTTGCTTTGTAATTAATTATTCTACTTTCTTTACTGTGTATTTATTTCCCCTGGTGACAGCTATTTAGCCTTAGGAACACTTCTATCTATAACAATCCCTCCAAAATGCACTGTAGTCATGGTTTGTGGGAGGTAAATTCTCTCAGCTTTTGCTTATGTGAAAATTGTTTAATCCCTCTTTCAAATTTAAATGATAATCTTGCCAGATAGAGTATTCTTGATTCAAGGCCCTTCTGCTTCATTGCATTAAATATATCATGCCACTCCCTTCTGGCCTATAAGGTTTCTATTGAGAAATCTGATGATAGCCTGATGGGTTCTCCTTTGTAGGGATCTTTTTTCTCTCTCTAGCTGCTTTTAAAAGTCTGTCCTTATCCTCGATCTTTGCCATTTTAATTATTATATGTCTTGTTTTTGTCTTCCTTGTGTCCCTTGTGTTGGGAGATCTGTGCACCTCCATGGCCTAGGAGACGATCTCCTTCCCCAAATTGGGGAAGTTTTCAGCAATTACCTCCTCAGTGACACTTTCTATCCATTTTTCTCTCTCTTCTTCTTTTGGTACCCCTATAATGCAAATATTTTACCATTTGGAGTGCTCACATAGTTCTCTCAATATTCTTTCATTCCTAGAGATCCTTTTTTCTCTCTGTGCCTCCACTTCTTTGTATTCCTCTTCTCTAATTTCTATTCCATTTACCGTCTTTTCTACTATGTTTAATCTGCTTTTAAATCCCTTCATTGTATGTTTAGTTTCAGATATGGAATTTCTTAATGATTGAATCTCCATCCTAAATTTGTCTCTGAGTTCTTGAATATTTTTCTGTACCTCAATGAGCATGTTTATGATTTTTATTTTGAACTGTCTTTCAGGAAGATTGGTGAGTTCAGTTTCACTTGGACCTTTTTCTGGTGTTTGTGAGATTTTGGTCTGAACCAGGTTCCTTTGATGTTTCATATTTGTATGTGGTGCCCTCTAGTGCCCAGAAGTTCTAGTGTCTGGAGCTGCTCAGCCCCTGAAGTGATGTCAGGGGTTTGCATGGGAGTGGCGCTGGTGCCTGGCAGGAGTAAAGAGCTATTTTCTCCTTCCCGGGTGCAGTGCCTCTCTCCACTGTCAGAACCAGTGGGCCAAGCACAGAGGTGTAAGCCTCTGTGCTTTGCATTTGTAGCTGCCATAGTTGCAGCCTCCCTCTGCCTGGCCTGATGCCAGGGCAGGGACTGCCAGTTTGCAAGCCTGTGCCGGCAGGCCAGGTGAAAAGTGCAGCAGACTGTGTATCACAGTGGGAGGCTTTGGAGCTAAGCACCTAGTCAGGGTGATGGAGTGCCTGAAGCTCCTGAAAGTTCCCAACCTGCTGAGCAGAGCACACCCAGTCAACTTTGTCCACCTATCCCTTCTCCCACATAGCAAGTTCCATGCAGTCTCCACCCCTTCAGAAGCCCTCTCGCTGCTAGGAAGCCTCTCAGACCACCCACCTTTCCTTTGTCTCAGAGCAGCCAGATGTGGATCCCTGTCCTCCGCAATGGCTGGAATCTCAGTTTCTCCAAGTATTCTGCCTGTATTAGCTTTCCAACCCCACTAATCTCCAGAGCACCATGCAATGTAGGTTTGTGCTCCCAAAGGAGATCTCCAGGGCTGGGTGGTTAGCAGTCCTAGGCTTCCACCCACTCCCCACTCCATTTCTCTTCCTCCCACAGGTGAGCTGGGGTGTGGGAAGGGCTTGGGTCCTGCTGGCTCAAGGCTTTGGTATGTTACCCTATTTCATGAGGTCTACTCTTTTCTCCAGGTCTATGCAGTAGGCACAGACTTCTTTCCTGTTACTCTTTTAGGATTAGTTATATTAACTGTATTTTCATATTATGTGTAGTTTTGGGAGGAGTTCTCTGTTTCATCTCTGATACTGCCATCTTTCATCTCCACCCTCTTATTGGTCTTCTTTTAGCTATCTTTTTCTTACTGAGATTTTTACACACATCCTTTGCAATTAAGTAAAACTTAGGAAAGACTAAGATTGGTAGAAATGATTAGGTACTAAACTATGTTCTGTTGTAGAGAATTGTGATTTAGTGTTCTATTATTAGATCCAATTGTCTGAGGCATGTGGCATATACTAATTTATTAACCTGTATAGTATCATAACAATTGTTTCCATTTATTGAATATTAATATGTGCCAGGCACTTTGTTACTGTACATTATGTTGATTATCATATTTAATTTTCATAACAATTCTGTAAGATAGGCATTAAAATATAAACAGATAAATCCAAAGGTTTAAGTAACTTTCACAAGTTCACAGTGTCAGAGGCAGAATTTGAACACAGGTTCACTGGACTCCAAAGCCCATGCCCTTTGGACATTACAAAGAGAAATGAACATCATTCCTTAGTCATATTCCTGGATATGAATATTTGTTTCTTAAATGAGCAGGCTGTTATTTGACCATGTAAAGCCATTGAAACTGAAGTGATATCATATGCAATTTTTACCAGTCCAGATGAAAAGTTGCAATACAAAAGAACATGACGGATAGGATCAGTAAATACTCAGTGGAACGCTGCAAAATCTGATCATCACTTCAGAGTAGCTAGAAACTCAAGAGCTTGGAAAGGTTGTCTTTGCTAATAGAGTACCTCTACCTTTATTTCCTTACCTAACCTCACCATTGTGCCCCTCCTCAACCCTCAGTTAAGCTGCCATTGGTATTGGATTGATAACGTCTTTGGTTCATTCGAGAGACAGCAACAGAGGTGTGGCTGAAGAGCTGGACAATGCAGAATGGAAACAATTCCTATTTCTGTTCAAATCAGGGTGGCAATAAAACCAGAGCCAGCCCTCAGGACAGACCAAGATGGTCTGACAGGGTGCTTATTCCAGATACTAAATGCCTGGTACATCACCAGGGAATACCCGTGACGGGAACACTCAGACCTCGGATAATGCTTGTGGTGTTATCATGTTGCAGCTTTCCAGGAAAGAATCTGTATTTTATTCTTCCTTTAGGTTTCTAAACAATAAAGGAAATTCTGTAGATGGGGATTAAGAATACAAATGAGGATTCTTTGAAGAGAAAGAATAGTTTCTTGACTGAACCAAATGTGAAAATATTGTGTGGCATGGAATTGCATGCATTAGATAATTTGAGAGTTCTTTTTAGGAACTTTAAATGTTATGAACTTTATTTTGCATAAATAAGATTATATTAGTTTTCGCTTTAAATGAAGAGTGAGACTTTGGAGTTCTTTTGTTAGAATTCAACTAATTTAGAAGAAGAGTGTTATTCCTTTACAGGTATATCTTAACTCCAATTTCACAAATTTGGAAATAAAATTGTGACTTTTAAGTTAGCAAGGAAGAAACCACAGGCATCCAAATTTTAAGTGATGGCTTTTATTCAGCACTAGTAATTTCTTCGGTTGTAAATATAATCTTAAAATTTAAAGGTTGAAAAAATGTGTATGTACAAACCTTATTTCTTTGGTTAGCCTTCTCTTATTTAACTAATATGACAACATCTCTCAATTTCAGTTTATTTAGCATTTAGAAAGAATTGACTAGTGGTTTAAGCTCTGAAAAATGTCAGCCTATTTCCTCCATTTTCTGTGTTTTGAATGACCTACAGGCTTTGCTAGATATTCTGGCTTAAAGATAAAATTGATGAAAGTCAGAGCTAGAGTTTTCCTACCTGTGTACTTACCAGTCTTCCCCTAAACCACAGTCTTTTGATAGTTGTAATAATTAATTTGGCCTTCTCTCTCCTCCCCTCCCCTACCTTCTCCCTGTCTGTTCACAGGTTATCTTGACGAATCAAATTACAACCCATCTGAGCGGAGCCCCAGCTTCTCAGGCAGACCTGGTGTCTCCAGCTGATGATTTGTCCCTGTCTGAAGGTAAGGGATCTGTCCTAGAGAGTTGGAAACTTGACACTGACATACAGCCCCACCTCCTCTCCATCTCCTGTTGAGAGCTGGGAGATGGGGCTAATAGGCCCTGGCCAGTGAACCCCGCCAAAGCCTGGCAATTTGGACTCAGCCACTTTTCCTGGCATCTGATCCTTTATTTTTAAACAGTCTCACCCTGTCTGTAAGTGAGCTTCCTTTTTCACTCGACTGAGTGATCCTCACAGGCATCTATCACCTCTCTCTTGAGGCTTGTCACTCCTCTGGAGGCTGCTTTGGGTCCTGAGTATGAAGGCTAGTGAACTGCTCAATGGCTTTGTTTTTGAGACGGATGCTCAAAAGCTCGCTTTCCCCACTGGTCCTATAGCAATTTGGCCTTTGGTTGGTGCTGGCCTATTTTTGGACTGGCAAAAAGGGTACACCAGCAGCATGCACTGGAGTTGTGACATTCCTGACCACCTTTACAGAAAGATTAAGAAAAAATCTCCACATTGGTAAATCTGCAAAATTTTCTCCACCCTCTGATGCTAGCAAAGGTCAGGCTGTCTATAGTTTACGTAGCTAGGGAAATTACACAACGGAGCCAGTGGGTGGTTTCTAGTTTTATTGAAAGTTCTTACTTGACAGATTTCTGAGTTCTGCTAGTGGTAGTTAATTTCTCCCAGGGAAGGGCCCAGGCCCTTCTGCACTTCCCAGTTTCTGAGAATTATTCGTGGTGGAGTATGTGGGACTTCTATGTCTAGCAAGGCTCCTGACTACCCAGGTGGTCTTCTGGTTTATAGTCTCAAAAATTGGAAGGACCACACCTCTGCTTTTTGGTGGTATTTTTCAGAGTGAAAACTAATTATTTACTTACAAAAATTACAAAATGCTCTGCATGCCTAATTTCCACATCCCATGATATATTCTCATGCCCTCATCACTGGGACTGAAATACTGAGTCACTTACTGTGCCTCCCTCCTTACAGGCTTTTCAACATCATGTCTTCCTGGTTCTTCTTTCCAAATATATATCTCCTCTGTCCCCACTTTTTTGTAATTTGTATTGTAATCAGCTTACTAGATGCATAATTGGATTATTTTAATAAATTTCAAAATGGCCGTCCCAACACCAGCCTCTACCATTTCCATTCTGCCACTACCAAATCAAACATTCCCAGTCCAGCTTCCTTTTATTCTGTCACTCTCCTACTCAGAAATCTTGAGATTGCTATGGCTCATTTTCCTGGAATGGGCTAAAATCAATAAACTGATTTAAAAATACTCAGGATTTTGTGGTTTGTTAGCTTGAAATCAGCCAAAGTGAAAGTATTTACACCATGGAAATCAGCAGATGCTAAAAATCAGGTTTTTCCCTTTTTCTTTTCTTTTGCCTGAATCAGCTTCCAAAACACTCCTAGAGGAAGGTAATGTCTTTTAACTCCTCATAGTCTGTCCTTTCTGTCCTGTTCACCCTCGGTTCTTGCCAGTACCTTAGGTGAAGCTCCTATACCATGGGTGCCAACTTTCTGCCTTGTACTCCCCGCTCCTGCCTCCCTGCCTCTGCAGAGACAGCTCACCATGCTCTCTCGAATGACATTTCCCTTTTCCACTTTTACTATGTCTTTCCTTCCCAAATCCTCCTAACTCCTTCCAAGTTTATTGAAAGACCATCTCTCCTGCAAAACCTTCTCTTGTTCCAGTCTGCACTGGCCTCACTCTCTTCCTTCTCCATGGACCTTCTACCTGCTCAGCTATATAAAGAAAAGTTCTAGAAAAATAAATTTAACCTCTTATGGTTTCCCTAGTGGATTGGCAGATTTGTTAAAGGACACAGGCTATCTTATATTCCTCTTGTGTCCATTTTATGCCTTCTACTCCCCATGACTTGCAAAGTTATGGGCACATAGTAGGCACCAAATAAATCCTGAACAAATACCATAGTAAATACTTTATAAGAACAGTAACCATGAGAGTCATATAAAGCCCTTGTGAACATGGTTGAAAATTGTTGTTATAATTATTTCACACACACATGCAAACACACACACATATCCAGCTTTGTGGAGAAGAAAATATCTTGTTTCCTTATTAAAAACCTGTAAGTGGTAGCACTTTGCTTTGTCTTGGCTTCCTGGTTTATCTGAAGCAAAGAAGAGGAGCAAAAACAGATACAAATGAAATTGTTTTGGGCTCCAGTTGTAACCTCCTCAAGAAAGTGGTAAAGCTGTATTCATGGCAAGGGGAGGGTTAGCAGCTCAACCTTAAACACCTTGTTCTTATTATGAAATCCAAAGGAGATTGGAAACAATACATTTTTCTAGAACTTTTCCTTGTGTAGCTGAGCAGGTAAAGAGGCTATAGAGAGAAATGTTTCTCCTGTAGTCTATAATGAAGTTCCTTGCCAGTGAAATAAAATAGACAAATTCCTTAGGACATTTATGCCTATTCAAATCTATTGCAATGATTACAAATGCTACTGTGACTATTACGTATAAATTGCTTTGTTATTTCCAGCATCTGTTGTATCAGCTATGCTGTTGTTATTTAGCTCTGTGATCTCGGGCAGGTCTTTTAATGACTTTGGACCTCAGTTTTTTTCTGTTAAATGACAGGTTGGATGAATATAAGATTGTTCAAGTCTTTTCTGGCTGTATCATTGTGAGATCATGATGTGGGCCTGAAGATCAGGAGCATTCACTCATTGATGGTGTTTTAAAATTCTGATTTACAGAGCCGGAAGAATGGCCGTATAGATTAGCATGAGAGAAAGGATGTTCAGGAATCTTGCCATTGATACTTTGGCATAACTATAATAGTGTCCTTTCCTCATATTGCTACTTCTTTTTTATTTTGAAAATACCTCTAGTCTAGTCTGTCTCTGTCTGTCTTTTGTGTTCTCTTTCTCTCTCCCCCACACAAACGTGCACACAAGAAGTGTGGGCAGACCAGTGAGAGTGAGAAACAAGCTGTGATAGGGATGGGGTGAGCAAGGGCCACTCTGTCCTGTAATAGATTTCAGCTGCAGAGCAGAGGCCACTGCTTAACCAGGGCTCCTTTGAAACCAGTTGTGGGGTGAGAACAAGAGGCCAAGAGCAGCTAGCGATAAAATGATCTGAGTGGACCTGAGAGAAGTACCCAGCAGGGGCTGATTCAGGGAAATGAAGTCCCTTCTGCTCTGACGCAGAGCAGGGAATACAAGTGACCTGGCCCAACTGGGAGATCTCTTCCATGCCAGCAGATCCTGTACTATTAATATCTGCCAGCTGCAGGCCCAGAGCATCCCCCTGCTGAGATCAAAAGAGCTCCTATCTTAGCTGGAACAGGGTCATCTGCATGGGGCTGTAAAAGCGAGCCTGGGCTGGCTGCGGGACCTCTATGGGGGAGGAGAAGTCAGGAGATGGGGAGGTGCTCTCTCACGCTCCTTTAATCTCGGCTGACCAGCTGTTGCCCTCCCAGTGTTTGTAAAGTTGAGAGTTCTTTGTTTTTGTGTTGCTGGGGGTTTTTCCTTATTAAATTTGTGGCTGGGTTGTTGCTTGGATTATGTAGACCCATGTGCACTACTTAGGTTCATGGTACGATTCCCTTCATTGAGGTTTCATTCCACTGTTAAATTATCTATCTCCCATGTGGGAAAGTCAAAGAATGGAGAAGTGGACCCAGAGGCTGCGGACTTCCCTGACATTGCTCCTACGCTATAGCTTTGTGCCTTGAGAAAGAATGAGAGGGCAAATTGACTTGTCCCTATTTAGTTAAAATAACTCCTCATACTCCCAGTGTGCTTTTCAACTTTCAGCCTGCCATTCATAAACATTATTTCATTCAGTGGGGAGGATGGAACTTTCAAGACTTAAGCAAACTGACCAATGTTATACTGTGAACCTAAGGGCAGAAATCAGGATTTTTGGTTTTATAATCTGTATTGATCTTGACCAGGCACTGGGAGTCAAAGTATCTTCTTCAGTTTTTTGTTTTGTTGACAAAAATTCAGGCCACTAAGTTATTACAGGATTCAATGACTGGTTATTGAAGACATCACTGTGACTGTTATGTGGCCAAGGACATGTTTCTTGGGTGTCCTTGCCAATTCTTCCTGGTGTATTGAAGATACTAAGGATGATTGGATCTTGATCATAGGCAACATCCCTTATCCCTGTATTGATCAGCAGAGAAAGACTCTAATAGTCCAGCTGGCCTAAGACACCATATCCTTTTCTGAAGTCACTGGGATTTGAGTAGGACTGGCTGAGCCCCTGCCCACCCAGGCACAGTTACTAGGTAAAATTGATGTATGGCAAAGTGGGCCCTGTGCAAGATTGAAGTTATGCTCAACCTAGACCATTGGCTTTTTCCCTGCAGATTATTTTATGGGAGAATAGTTACTTCAGGGTGGTGACACAGTGCATTTCAGGAGCCCCAGATGGCTCCATGGAAAGGAAGACATTATGAAGCTGCTTTCGTGGCATTTCCAGCATCTGGCACGTTAGCATCTTTTTATCTGCATTAATAGTTTTTGATTGATAATAGCACTTAAAAACTAAAAATTAAAAGTGCATGGATGGGTCAAGGAAAGAACAGAAAGAAAAAGCAGCACTTACTAGAACCAAGAGTGGTTTCTCGTTTTAGTACTAGAAGCCTTTGTATTCGGGTGAACTGATGGCTGGTTTCCTGTGCAGGAGAAAGTATTTTGGGATTCATATTCCACAGCAAACCATCCTTGCAAAAAGCTGGAGCCCATTTGAAAGATTATATGCAAGTGCATGGCTTGTGTCTCTTTTAAAATAAGTTCAACAAGCAAGAACAGCCCAGAATGGTTGGGGCAAATCAGGGACTCATGGTTGTGAAAGAAGCAGACTTCAAAGCATGGTATGAATTTTCAAGTTTTATTTCCACTCTTGCTTTCCAGCTGGATCTGCTCTGGATTTACTGCAGGATGTTTGAAAATGTGGCTCCCTGCTAATCTCAGGCAGTTGCTATGATCAATGGTTTCTTTCGTTTCCGATAAAAAACAC